CACACACACACACACACACACACACACACTGCATGCAGATGGAGGAAAAATAGGGCTGAGAGCCAAAAGGCCTGAGGGGCTTTTCATGACAATAACCTTCTGTAGAGCTGCTTGTATCCCTCCACCTAGATCAGGGAGAGGTGCTGAGGGATGGATGGGAAAATAAGCAAGATAACCATACAAAATATTAGGCGAGGAACATTCACACAAAGTACAGAGGAGGAAGAAATCCGTGTCATTTTGCTCTCATGGCCTGGAGAGATGGTAGGCTAAATGCTCTTTTAAAACAGCTTGAACATTGAAATGATGATGGCTCCTTTTGCCTCAGCAAAGCACATTAATACGTAGCCGAATGCCATTTCCACTTTTGTTAAATGGCTCACCTATTGAGTATTCAATTACAATGGCTGTCTCTCGTTTTGGAAGACGGGGCTGGGACCCACATAAATAAGCTCCCTCTGAGTGAGGAGCTGCACAACGCATTGGACGGCATTGGAAGCCATGCGGCGCTGCTGTATGGGGGTGGCATATAATGTTAATGGCAGAGGAGTGAGGAGGTTGTGGGGTATTAGCTGTGGGGCAAAAGCTAAGCTCCTCATCTGCAGCACCGTTTTATTAAGGAACCACATTTTTTACACCGTTTGCACAGATAAAGAGAAAAAGAAAAGGCCAAGCACATGAAATGATCTAAATTGAGAAAGCCATGAATCCTGGCTTAAAAAAACATCAGTCAGGGTGATTAATTCAGTCTTGATTAATCGTTCCATTTGTCTATGATATGTCTAAAATTCCACAATACAAATCCGCCAGTAATGATCCAATCCTTTCCCCCCCATTGTGTGGTTTATCTCTTATGCTCAAATAGCAAAAGCAAATTGTGGCTAATTTTATCGGCGAATCCACTGGCATGTGGTTTTTCCAGCGGTAATGATTCCCTCATTCGGGCCTAATTAACTGCGGCCATTAAATGGAGGGAAATGTAATGCCCTGGGTTCCATGTCAGGTAGTCAGAGGAGGACAGCACAGGAGGACTCAATTAGGCCTGTGCTGTTCCCAGGTTATCACACGACATGTTTGCCAATTAAGTGAAGTAGCGTCTGATGTCTATGTGCCTCCGTCGGCTCCATCTCAGAGGCCCTGGCAACGCAGGAACGGCCCCGCGCCCCCGCCCCCCACCAGCCAAGGAACAGACACTACACTATGCCCCAAAAAGGCAGTAATTACAGGATGGATGGGAGACTGTTATATAAGCACGAGGCTGCCGATAGGCCAGGCAGGGCCTGCTGATGCCAGGTTTCAAACAAGTACCAGCAGGATCGAGTTATAGCAGAATTACCCAGGGTAGACTCAGAAACACAGACACATTTCAACATCAGACGCAGGCAAAAACACCAGAAGAAACAGAGGCTATTGACATTTTTTGAAGTCTGCAGTGTTGCGCGACAGTTTCGGAATTTCAAACGATCAAAAGGGAATTGTGATCCGGCTGAAATAAGTTCCCAGTCATGACAAATAAATGCAGCACTTGATTTTTCGAAAAGCTATCTTGCTCAAATTTATTATTAGTCACTTTCAAAACATGAGATCTTACAGCTGCTTTAAACATATTTCCCCAAGTGAGGGTAGCTCTGTATCGTGACTCAGAAAGTGTGGGAGAGGAAGGCAGAGACAGGCAGACACATTAGCCTTCCCTTATGGCACATTCTGCAAGGCTATAGGAGTCAGTCTGCATGATCCTGACTGTCACTGACTTGTTATGAAAGCATCGCGGGCTGAGGCTTATCCATCACATTGGGGGGTGGAAGTTGGGGTGAGAGGACGGCCGGGGGGGCGTGCAGGGGGCTGGAGGGGGCGAGCGTGGGCGAGGCGGCCCTGTTGCCTGTCACTCACCATGCACCACTGCATGACCGCCAACCTTGTCTGGCTTGTGCACAATGGGAGGTCTGGGGCTCGACTGTATGAGCAGTCTTTCCCCGCTCCCTCCTCCCAGCAGCCAACACGGGGGGAAGGCCAAAAGGAGTCAAAACACTCTGGACGGGCATTAGTCCTATACAGACCCTTGAAAACCTCGCGGCTTGAAGCAGCTGAGCAGTGAATATCTGCTCTGTTTTGCACTGAAGCTCTTCTCTGGGCGTTCGTAGCCGGGGTTCAGCTCCTTAGAGCAAGCCCTGACAGAGTCTCCACAAGATAATCTCCTTCAACAAACATACATTGCAATTATCCAGAGTCATTAAACGGTAATGACTGAAGGTGTGAGCAAACTTCTTAAGCAAACAGTTACAGTGCCACCCACCTGAAAATACATAACGCTTGCAAAATGTACGCCGTGGCTTCGGAGACAGAACCGTTCCTCACAGCAATTAGGGAGCAGGAGAGAGAGAGGTGCATATGTAAAAGGGAGGTCTTATGTCGGGAGCGGAAAGAAAAGAGGAAAAAGCTGAAGTCAGCAACGGCAATAAATCCTCCGATGCTGAGCAGTTTCTTCCAGCTCTGTCCTGGTCTGTGGACCCCATCTCTAACCTGCAGACAGGCCTCTGTTTAGTAGCTTTAGCAGTGGGGAGGCCAGCTCAGTCCAGCGAGCATAAACCCCCTCCTTCCTCCCCCTCCACCCCCAAGGTGCAGTTTGTCCAGGTGGTGCCTCGGAGTTAAGCTCATCTGGCCTGTTAGCGGATACGTCGCAGCAGCACCACAGTCTGTGACCACAGCTTGACCTCCAACCAGCCTCTCACTTCCACAACGCTGAGGAAAAATCAATAGATCAACCGGCATGAAACGGTGACGCGATTGAGATGAATGATTACCCAGCTAATTTCTATTCATCTCTTTATGGGGCAGTGATAAGTGAGAACTTTAATGGATACTGAGAAGAACAATGAGCGCAATGAAACCGTGGACACAGCATTTTGATTTAGCTTTAAACAAGGTGAGAGGATATAGCGTTAAGCTACGATATAAAGCACCCGGCGAGCATAAACCCCTGCCAAGTATGCACCATCCCTGGATTTACATCAGCAATAGAAAATATTCAAAAGTATTTAATCTGTGCCCTGTGACCCTCTGAAGGCTAAGTGGCTATCGCTAATAGGTACTGGATGGGTTTAATCTGTATTTAGTTTTGGGTTCTGCATCATGTGAATGCTGACCGTGGAGCCGTTTGAGTCCAAAGCGCCTCCTTCAGCTTCAGGAGTTAATTCAGTTTGCATCAAACGTCTACGTCAAGAAGAATCTGGAAAAATACAAGTAAACGTACGTCCAAACAGTAATTACTGCTTTCAGGCTCATTGAAATGTCTTCTTATTCTGGTTAAGCATGTACGAGGCTAACCGCTAATGCTAACATGCCACCATGTCAACCAAAACTTACGTTCCAGTCCAGCTAACTGCGTTCTCAGATACGTTCTGAGAGGAACATATTTTCTGCTGGATTATGTTTTTTCTAACGTATGAGCTTCAGATCCACACACATTAGTTTTATTGCTCGACTGCAGCTAATCCATCATATATTAGATGGAGTTGAACTTGTCACCCTGTTAACCCAGAACAGAGAAGAAAAGTTTTAAATATGTTGTGAAAAGGTTGTATTTTAACCCAACCTGTGGTATTTTCCTAAACCGAGCCACAGAGTTTTGGTGCCCTTTAGGAAAAACAGTTAACACACATAATGAGACGGAAACACCGATTTAAATACGTTCTGATTTAGGGAACGTTTAACTTCCACCACTGATCGCTTGTTTCCGTTTCTTCACCCCAGACGGTTTTAAACACGGCCAACACCAGCTAACATGAAATAATAACTCCAACCGGTCTCACTGAAAACAATCTGTCAGGTTTCCTCTGTGGCCAACGTTGTGCTCGATTCTTCTTTTTCAGGGTTTTTTTAGTGACCTCTCCGTCTTCAGCTACGTTTATTAGCCACCTTCTGATGACACGACAAGTTTAATTTGTCTAATGTTTTATTTTTGTGACAGTTTTATGGAAGCATAGCATTCAGATTTCATATAATCATTACATTGTAGGAGACGTACAGGCAGAAATGGACGTGGCATATAGACTGATTTGGTAAATTTGGCTAATCAAATATAGTGAGATGCTAAACACACGGTGGCACCGTCAGACCCAGATCTCCTTGATAGAACTGTTCACCTGTTTCTTGGCCTAAATACCTAAAACAAGACAAATATGCAGGCGTGACTGAGCACAGCCTCCTTTGCATAGGTAAATATAAGCAGACACGCATAAGCACATCTTAATCTGAACAATGTGCTGGCAAACACAAAATCTGTCCCAAAGAGGCCCGAGCGCTCGGCTCGTCTCACTTACCGTCTCGTTGCCAAACAAGATGTCGACGTACGGCATAACCTTCATCAAGGGCTCTTTAAAGAACTGGCTGATGAACGGCGCCGAGAGGTTCATGCAGAAGACTTTGTTCTTATCTGCAGCGTGTTTCGCCACCTTAAGGATCGACTCCGGGGACACGGTCAGGAAAAAGCCCTAAAAACAGAAGTCAGAAGACAGCAATGTTTACTACACCATGCGTTCGGTAGTTTGACTGACTTCTACTAAATCAAACAAATGAATGTGTGGAGTGTCTGACGGGCTCCAGAGCGGACCCAACTGTGACGGGCTCATGTGAACTGAAACACTTTAAACTGCTAATTTGTGGGTTTGGGATTCTGACAAGGCAGTTTCAGGGTGACATAGCTTGATATTATTGAAATAACACCAGAGCCAAAGGAAGAAGAAGAAAAAAAGCACCAGCAACGCTCAAACACTCGTCTGAAACGGCTTCTTAGAACATACACAGAGCAACAAAGAAGAGGAAAAAGGGCAGGAAAAAATCCATGGAGGACAAAGCCTGTGGCTGGGCTCCAAGGCTCGTACTGGAGGAAGCAACATGCACGTATCCGATGATAGGGCGAACAAAAGTCTTGTCTGGACTCTCCTTACTTGGAAACAAGAGAGGCAGGCCCACTCATTGTGTGAATGAATACAAATCAGGTAAGAAAACACCTTTGTGTTTCAGGTGGAAACCTGAAGCGAGACTCTCCTGCAAGCCACACAAAAACACTCCTCCTTTGATACTGATCTTCTTAACCTTGTTTTTCAGCAACAAGCTGCTCTGTAAAACCACTGTGTCACAATGGGCCCAAGGGGGGCGGAGGAGGAGGAGGAAAGGAAAGTTTCAGCACAGGGATACATTTAATCTGGCTGAAAAGCTCCCATTGTGGACGACAGCGCAGCTCTCATTAAAGCGCTATGACATTTGCAGCAACAGAGGAACGACCTCCGTGAAAAAGAAAAGGCTATAATAGCGGAGAATGGAAGGTGACTGTAGTCAATCAGACGGACGGGCGTCACAATGCAGCCACGCCAAGCAGCTCAACTCTTTATTTCACATTCATGTTGTCATTCACTCTCCGGCCACAAGTTCTCGTTCCTCGTCTGTCCTGTGGTTGTTTTGTTGGAAATGTCTTTAAGTTAAGTCTCAGGTCAGCCTGCGGTTGCTGTGTCACGGTACCATCTGTTGAAGACTAAAAAGGTGTTTTCAATGGGTCTGCGAGCACAAAAGGAGCTCACTCTGGGCTAATGGCCCATCACTGACCCTGACATTTTTCTTTTGCGGTGTGCCAACGTGTCAGAGGAAGCGAGATTGTTTTCTGACACAAATGGTCTTTTTTGGTTGTTGAAAATAAACTGTCATGGTTACCGTAATGTTAACGCTGATCAAAGGCCGGTGGCTCGATCAAATAACCTGAGGGGTGGTGAACTTTAAAAGCCGTGCCACAGCTTCTCTAATCACACACCGGCTCTGTGTAATTTACTTCTAACCTCAGTACCACTGCCAGCGCCATCACATTAAATTGCTCACAACTTGAAACTGTAATAGATTAACTGATTTCTGAATGGATTATGCTCATGCAACACTAAAAATGTCCTCATAGTCTAATTCTTCTTCAGCCCCTTAAGTCCAGTTTGATGCAACGTGTTTAGTTTTCTCACAGCACTGAGCAGCCGATCCGACATGCTGCAGCTAGAACGGCTTTCAGATAAACCGAGACACACAAAACATTCATGGCACAGTGACGGCAGGATCTGAACACAAATCTGAGAAAACTCTGCAGCTGAGTTTGAATTCTGACACATTTATTCCTCTGATTCATTAATTAGTCGACTGAAACTATAGCTCATGATGTGGTTTGTAAAGTGTGAATGCATTCTACCCATAAAAGATAATAATTTACTTTCTACAACATGAATCTGTATGATGTTACACTCAACTACTAAAGAACCAAAACGCTAAAATCTGACTGATGCTTCAAGGAAAGTCCAAAAATTCTGCTTTGATGCACAAAAACTTTAAAAACATTTGTGTGTCTCTGTGTGTCTGAGGTCAAACTAATACTGCAGGAATCTCGTTCATAAAAATCATACGGGACGTTTTTTCCACCAGACTCTGAACGCTGCGACTCCAGTGGCTTGTGGGAAAAAAAAAAAGAGGTCTCGGTCTGAGCCATGTGAAATTCCAGTTAGCATCAGTAGTCTCTGCTGACTACGAAACAGGAGAAGTTAAGTCTTTAGTGCTGCGGTGCAGATCACGTATCAAGAATAGCAGATCCAGTTTCCCAGGTGTCAGAGAGCCCTGTGAAGTGGGGTGACTATCACATTTCCAGGTCAAGATGATCAAAGTGCTGGGTACACTTCGTACAATTTCCACCCAGCCAAAACATTCAATAAAGCATTCAGAGATGCATTTTCCTGGCAGACAATAATGCAGAGCGATGTTTGGCCATGTCAAGTGGTAATTTGAGGGAAGAGCTGGAAAGGCAGGGCATCCATTTTCAGTGTTTACCCTAAAAAGAGGAATGACTTCCACTTTACTCAGACAAAGAAAATGTCTAAATGCTACTCTGAGATGAAATTAGTGGTAATCTAACCATAGCGGTCCTAACTGCACAGCAGCAGCAGCACGCTATCACACTTCTCCTGCATCGTGTCAGTGTTTTCCCCGGGGCTGCTCACATCTGAAAAGCTGGGTGTGATGGATGGCGTGGTGTCACCGGGCTTAAAATAAAAGTGGACATCTGAAGGGTAAAAATGATCTATTTTGGGAAGGGCATTTTCATTTGCACCAGCAGCAGAGGTGGTCATGGAAAAGGAAACGCGCTCTTTTTTTTTTTTTTTCCAGGTCTATTTTAATTCAGCAGGGATAAGGGGGAGTGTTCAAAGTACTGTGTCATGAAGGTTTTATTTGACACTTCCTATTACTCAGGAATGATGGAGGGAATTTAAACCATCACCACCTCAGTGAAAAGAGTAATTATGTCTGCTGCAATTGCACTAAATTTAATCAAATCCCCAGATCTTAGTCAGGTTTATTTATGCAGCCACAAATCACAGGTTTCTCTCTGAGGGCTTATCAATATTTTTATATTAACAATGAATGAAATGAGTACGAAAGGGTTGCACGTCGTGATAAACACACCGAGAAATATCACCTTTGTGCTTCCACTCGGCTCTGCAGTGCCTTTCATCTCGCTGCTGTACAGTTCTGATGAAGTCAAAGTCTGTAAGTTAAGTTATTAAGTCAAAATTTCCAGACACAGCAGGCAGCTGTTATGATAATCTGACTACCCGCCCAGCGCCCAAACGTCAGACAAACAACGTTAGCGACTAGCTGCTGATCACAGTGGAGCATTTAGCAGCTCAAGAGCCAGATATTTTCCGCAGGAAGACGAATATTGGACTTAAATTTTCCTAACGGCAAGAAACACAACCCATAATAAGCGCTGCTGCTGCTGCTGCTGGGCGTATAGGTAGCTGTTTGCTAACACATTCACCACATCAGCTCTCATTGGTACTGTTTCTATTACGATCCCGCCGGCCGACAGAAACACCGTGTTTGAAATTAAGAATCATTATTCTGGCCGTTCAGCACAATGTCACACGACTGTAGAGCAAACCACATCCCGCCTCTGATACGCTCCTCAGTATTTATCTATTAGCCAAACCGGAGCGTATGGGGCACCACGGCCTTTCAGTCTCAGTGGAGGGAAGGCGGCTTCAGGTAAAAACAAAAGCCTCCATCAGAATCAAAACTGAAGAGTTTTCCTCGTCGAGGCCGGACAGAGATACGATATGTCAGCCGTAGAGGCGACAACGTGGAGCGATGGAGTGAAAGACAGCTGCTCTGCATCAGACCAGGCAGCACAACTTGTGTATCTTAACAAATTTGGCGTTTGTTCTCGTGGTAAATTCCTTGTTTTTTTTCCTAGGAAAGCCCTGTGAGCTAACCGAGTGTTTCAAAGCTTTTGAAAAGCCGCCCAGGCCATGCTATCCCTGTCATTACCATAGACAGCCCCCCATCATGCTCTCTGGTGCACAGGGTTCATTACACAGAATTAGATGTCACACAGATCAGAGCGAGCGTGATGCCACACACTGCTCTCCTCCTCAGTTATCTCTGTAAAGCACCGTTGCGAGGTGGATCGATAGCTGAGGTTTGGAGCTTCATTAGCTCAGTATGACTCCATCTCCATCAAGACACCTCTGGCACGCTACGCTAGTGTTGCGAGCTATATTTTACTCCCTGATCCTGAAGGTCCTGCTGTTTTACACACAAACACACGGGGACAAACAAGACCTTCACACATGATGGGGGTGGAGGAATCTGTGTCAGTCTCTGGCTCGATAAACAGGAGAAAGAAAGAGGACAAACAAACAGAGGTAAGTGATTAATGGTGTCACAAAGTGCCTTGAGTGGAGGGAAAAAATTGCAAGGATGAAAAGAGCTCATTTACGGCTTTTCATTTCAAAGGAAAATGAGTGGGAAAAAAGCTACAAAGCAACTGGGATTTTCACAATGCTAATGATGTTTTGTTTGCATCGAATCGGCCAGTTGGTTTCATTTGGAAACAAGTTCAATTAAACCAACAGAGAAGATAAATGTGTAACAACCTCGCAACATGATTCAGCATTCGCTGCACTTTTAGGATGTTTGATCTGGCTGCGAGGCAATTCAAGCGCGCTGATAGCATCTGCCTCTTCTTCTTCTCTCTTCCATTAAGAATCATGTTCTGGTGAAGCTTATCAGACATCTAGGAATTCATCCACTTCTTCTGAGGGGGCTGGAGGGAGGCCAACTGTACTGGAAACAGAAGGGAGGGCCGTGCTTTTAAAGGCCGCTCGGAGACGGGGAAAAGGGGGCTATCATGTCGGCTGGGATCTCCAGGGCAACATAAATGTGCCACGAACGCTGGTTTTAACAACTGGGCAGAGACATCACTTACCAACTGCTGCAGTATTTATTCCTAAAACATTTTCTCTGGTTTAAATATTACCCAATTTTGGAGCAAGTGGATATTTCTCCCCGATGTCGTAAAGGTCTCCTGTGGCATACGTGAAATATCGAGATGCAGCAAGAAGGTCACGACGAAAAACCCAACACACCTGGTCAAAGTCATCTTAATCAGCGTGGATGGAACGAGACATCA